GGGTTGAAGGGTGTCTGCTCCATGTTTCAGCAGCAGTCTGAGAACTGCATCATCCCCGTGCGAACAGGCAATGTGCAGGGGGCTTCTGTGCTTCTTCCCCTGCGTGAAGTTCAGCTCCAGGTCCTTGTGTTTACGAAGGAACGACTTTAACTTCATCAGACTCCCCTCCTCCACATAGCGCAAAACTCTCCTCTGCTTTCTTTTCACCATCGGGACTCATTAGATGACATGCAGATGTTAAATTCTAGACAATATTATGTATATATTTTTAACAGCCCATTTGTTCATGAGAAGTCATTTCAACGTTTTAAACACGGTCATAAACAAACGTTACACGACATCACTGCAGTACGTCTGCAAAATAATTCCGGAGGAATCCAATCCAACAGTTCCGTAGTTGACCTGCAGGTTTAAAGTGGACCTGCAGGTGTCGCTGTTTGCCGAGAAATCTCAGTCATATATTTTCACAGCTAAAAGTAGCTCGAATTAATTTACAGTTCATTTGATAGTTTTTACTAGTCTTTTTATTTTATTTTTTTATTTATTTTATTTTATTTTACAAATTACGGTTTAAATTTGTATCTCTCAAGCAAAGTAGGCTACAAAATATTTTGGCATTACCTTGAGGTAGGTCTTCTTAGTTACTTAAAGGGGTCATATGATGCTGCTAAAAAGAACATTATTTTGTGTATTTGGTGTAATGAAATGTGTTTATGCGGTTTAAGGTTCAAAAAACACATTATTTTCCACATGCTGTACATTATTGTTTCTCCTCTATGCCCCGCTTTTCTGAAACGCGTCGATTTTTACAAAACTAATCGGTCTCTACAATACTACAGCGAGAATAAAAGTTATGCTTTCTTTCTTTGCGTGAACATTTGGGTGGTGTTATGCAAATCTTCCCACATCGTGACGTAGACATGTTGGGGGCGTGTTAGAACGAGCTGTTTTAGGTAGGTGTGGCTGACTCTTAACTTTTATAAAGAATATCTCTTTGGATTTGAGACTTTAGTCTTTGCAACTTTACAGATCTTCTTTATGCACCAAGAGCTTGTAACACTCCAAAGAGAAAGGAAAATTTGAAATCGCATCATATGACCCCTTTACTTAAGTAAAGAATTTGGTTGTGTTTGGATTTTTTTTCTTCTTTTTTTTAAGAATAATATGTGAAACAGTATATAAGCAACAAATGTTTGAGAGTAGGCTTAGTTTGTTGTTACATGACAAATATTGAACATTAATTCAGCACAGCTGTCCAAATTGAAACCCTATTAATAAATGTGCTTTTTATATGCAAACCTAAGTGAAAATGTCTTTCATTTTGACTTTCCTCACCAACGGTCTTGATCTAGCCCATTAAAATTCAGTTTGTTGATGTAAAGTCAAGTTGATTTGGTGAAATTAAATCATGTTTTTCCACTTAAAAGCAGTTGATTAGATTTTATTTTGCACCCACAAAAAATGTACAATGAAAACAAAATGTTAACTGTGGTAACATGTAAATTAACTGGTTTATTAAAGTCAAAATACAGCTCCTTACAGGAGCAAATACTTTTGACTGTGTAATACTACATATGTAAAAATAACTAATTATAGCTTGGTTTTTCCGAAACATCACAATGTAGATTATGCTCTACATATTAGGTAAATATAGGCTATATTTTGTCAGCATAAAAGTGAACGTTTTGCTACTATATGGTTTTAGTACTTGTCAAGAAACTATTTCATATGACTGACTCAATCCAGCCAGCATTAAAAGTTTGTTCTGGGATGCCTGCGAGATGAATGATATCCTTTCTAACCTTACAGAAAGAACTTTATTTAGAATTCCCAAAACCTACTTAATCGTTCGCTTCTGCATTTAAACACTCCAAGAATGGCCCTATTCACTATAATTGTAAGTATCTCCCCATAAACTTTTTTTTTTTTAAAAGATAACGACGAGGGATAAGTCAGCATTGAGAAGACGACGAGGCGTTCCCCCATAGCGACCCCTAGAGGACGCAGTTCGAAGTTCCCATGAAAGGGAACAATTACTTGTTTACATAGGATATATATATATAATGTATTTTATATTATTTAGTCACTTATAGGCTATAGTTTGACAGAATGTTCTAATTAAACATGCCATGGGAAGTCAGTCTAACTTAACATTTTATTTTATTGATATTGTTTATTTCTTACTCCTTAACAGTTCATCAGGCTCTTAATGATTTAATCTATGCCATTTTTTGGAATATCTGAAGGCCATGTATACTAGTTCTTAACTGTGGCATTTGTTATAATAAGACTATATTTATCATTACCAGGCCAATAATTACTTTTTTTAATTAATCAATATAGCATTTGTTATGAAGAAACAACGCCTGCACATTTAGAACAAATAGCTACAACATGCAACAGTTGTAATATAAATCTATAGGGAAAAATCTATTCCCTTAACAGATTATCTACCACAAGTTAGACTAAATGTTTCACAATAAACAAGCCTACAATAAAACGTGATAAATTCAAGTAGCCTAAAGGTGGTCATAAGTAGTTTAAAAAGATTTTAATATATGTTATTGCTGGTTCAAGACTGTTTTCTCGTATTTTTTGTTTATTTGCCTTTTTAAGATACGTTTCGACTTTCTCCATAGCATTTTAAAGTGGCTGTTTCTCTAAATAATTCAAAGAGATCACATATTTGACCATCAGCTTCGCGATGGGAATGGCTCGCGCAAATCTTATCACACTTACAAAAAATGTCATCGGCCTGAGTAAAGTACCATTATAGAATTGTGACTTCACACGTGTAATTGAGGTGAAAATACAAATGGCATGACATTTGAAAATCTAACAATTGATGGTCTATGAAACGTCAGTCAATCAAGCTTTTTTTTTAAAACAATGGCACTTAAAGTTTTGATCTAAAATATTATTGCAACTAGCCTAGCCATCTACAGAAGAAGTGAGGATAATGTTTTATAAGTAATCTTTGCAAATCGCCTTTCCTAATAATGTGCTAATTAGCAAGTTTCACGATGAATGCGGCTAAAGTAAACAGCTCGGAAGAGAGGGGCGGGGTCGGCAGAGCTCATTAACATTTAAAGGAAAATGCTACAAAAACGGCTTGATCTGAAAAGAGCTGTTTTTGACAGGGTTTTTTACACTACCATTGAGAAATTTTAACCAAACTATGTTACAGACTTTTCATTAAGACCCTAAAGAATCATATCAACTTGTGGAAAATGGCCATCCTATGACCCCTTTAAAGTCAAAATACAGCTCCTTACAGGAACAAATACTTTTGACTGTGTAATACGACATGTGTAAAAATAACTAATTATAGCTTGGTTTTTCCGAAACATCACAATGTAGATTATGCTCTACATATTAGGTAAATATAGGCTATATTTTGTCAGCATAAAAGTGAACGTTTTGCTTCTATATGGTTTTAGTACTTGTCAAGAAACTATTTCATATGACTGACTCAATCCAGCCAGCATCAGAAGTTTGTTCTGGGATGCCTGCGAAAAATTAAATTGTCCTTCATGCTGTGCGTTTGTCCATTTAAACCCATGCAGGAACCCAAAGTCCATAATGAAACTGACTTCAAACTAAAATGCTATGAATTAAATAAACCAAGAAATTTGGAAGTGCAAGAAATTTTGGTTTGCTGTAAATACTTTCTGAACTTTAACTGGGCCACCACTTCAAATAAAATATAAAAAATCACTTGATCTAATGTCTTAAAGAACGATTTTGTCAGAAATATTGGCGTATTTTGAAACAGAATACAAATTTGAGGAATTATGTTTATTTTTATGGCAATAATTCTGCCAGCCAAAGGAGGGAGTGTTGTTCATTTAGCAGGTTTCTGTTTTGTTTTCTCCAAAAGTGGAATAAACTTATGATATGACACTTATGATATGATATGATTACTTTAAATGGTAAAATTGACAAGGGAGGGCTCTTGTGGAAAACTCTTAGCTTAAAAATCACTGAAGCCTCCAAAATTAATAAAAACCATGAGGAAGATTATTAAAATAACACATCATTTCTATAAAGGGAAATTTTTGTTCTCTTCCTGCTCTTAAATTACCAGTCAAACTGTGATTAATATGAAAAGAGATTGCAAGAGGCTCCTATAGTGTAAACAAAGGTGGGGCATCTCTGTCTAGTACCTATAGTGTAAACAGGAAGTCAGGATTAATGCTGTTTGTTTTTACAGAGCCCAAGGTATAAATGCTTGACCCAGAAGGACAAAAATTTGTCACCAAACCCACTTGTTTTACATACAGAATAAAAAGTCCCTCTAAATCTATTGATCAAAAGTCTTCTCTACATGAAGACCAGGGCCTCTGGCACAGATGAGTCAGACAAGGTGTAAATTATGTTCATCAGCCTTCTAAGGCTGAAAAAACCCATTCTGTTTTTTACAAAGGTTATCACAGTCTATTTTAGTTATCAATTGAGAATTTGTTACTGATATGATCTGATGAAAATAATAATATGGCCTGCGAGAAAATAAATAAAAAGAGTGGGTCTGCTATGAGTGCAGGCAGCCTAGGAACAGCATCAACCCAGTGGCATGACAACACCGGCCCTCGGCCAAAAAACAGACCGGCCCACCGGGAATCCTCCCGGTGCTCCCGATTAGCCAATCCAGACCTGCTTAAAATCAACGACTACTAGTCGACCAGAAAAATCCTTAGTCGAGGGCAGCCCTGTTAATTACCAATACATTTTATAGTAAATTAAAAGCACATTACTGGCTACTGATTTGCATTACTATTACACTTACACTGTAATTCTACAGCAGAATACTAAACTGATATACATTAACTGTAACTTCACAGCTAAATACAGTAATTCTACAGGAGCATACTGCTAAATCACAGTATGGAATAACTACTGTGAGGTCACAGTATACAGCTGTCATTTCACAATTATTTACTGTAAAAATGATACAGTAACTTACTGTGAAAGTAATGCAACTAGTAGCCAGTAATAATGTCTGTTCTGGGTCCGGCACCTTTGTGAATATTGCTGGATCTCTGTCCATGATTGAAGTAGCAACTGATGGCAGTGTCTTTGGTATCAACTCTAATGGGAATTTATACCAAAGGTAAGCTGAACAGTCATAATATTACAAGTTTTATGAATAAAAGTGGTGAATTCATCAAGAATGATTTTCAAACACTGCATTCAAGAAACCATTTTTATCTACTGCAGAGTTGGCATCACTCGATCCAACCCTTCTGGCACACAGTGGAATTTGATGACTGCCTGTCCCAATAACCACATGCATGTGAGCTTTGACCTGGGAGTGCTGTGGGTTGTGTGTGTTGACGGCTCCGTCCGTAAATGCACTATATAGTCTGTCACAGAATATTAACAGAAAATCTTGATTATACTTTCTTTTCTTCTCTTTTTTATTGCTGCTGAACCAATAAAGCATAATGAAAGCATCTATATTATCAGTGTTGCGTTTCTTTTGTGTTTTATTTGATTCAGTGGTTCTTTGAGGCAGTTTCAGGATATACAGTACACAGCACAACTGTAGAAACTTACAACTTACAAAACGTTTTATTCAAGTTGTTCATGTTTTATTTCTAATATCTATTTAGTACATATTTATGTGTCTATAAAGCTGTCATTTTTAGAGGATGTTATCAGGATTTAAGGATTCAAACAAGCAACTTGTCTTTCTGCATCTTCAAGAGAGCAAACATACATCTTGTGCTTGATTTATGTTGTTTCTTTACCTCAGTCACTTTCTATATATAGCCATTTAACCTATTAATTGCAATTGTTTTATATTATCAACAAATGTTATACAAAATCAAAAGCAATGTAAGATGACTGCTTCATAACATTATCCTGTGTTCATCCTTATTTGTCATGCACAGAAGTAACTTGCTTTTTAAAATTTAAAAATTGTCAATAAAAACAAAAACAATTAAAGCTGCAAGCAGCGATGGAAGGGCCCTCGCACCCGGGCTCACCGCGACCCTGTGGCTATAGGAAAACAGCAAACAATGGGCAATATGCTTTTAAAGTGGTAAATATAAGAGGAATATAGCAAAGTCATTTATATGTGCCAAATTTCCTGTTCTTACCAAACATGTGCATTTTGAAATTTTGAGGCATTTTGAAATTTTGAGGCAGATATAGACATTGCATGTGTAAGTTGGTGTAAAACAAGTCATTTCCTGTTGGCAGCAGTTGGCGCTATGCAGGGGCGGTTCTAGACCAAAGTAACTGGGGGGGCCAGACAGGGGCCACTTGTGCTTTTAGGGGGCACAATTTTAAAATTCATCTTAACCTACTTTAAGTATTAGTCATTCAGTCATTTTTCACCATGTCATGTATCACTGCAATCTCTAGAAGTAATCTATAACAATTTCAACTAAAACTAATGTTTCATCATGTTTCATTTATTTGACAAATAATTTTGTATTGTAGTGTCAGGGGCATCATGCACTCATTATTTTTGAGGGGGCACGAGTGAAGTGGGGGCACACAGCAGCCACAATACCACTGTATAACTGATATAGGCTAATGTCCCTACTGAAAAAAACAAAACAATAAAACCATCACAGAAAATGTTAATGGTTTCCACTACAAATAACCATTACAAACATTACAAACTGTCAACATTTAACCATTAAAAACATAAAAAAATGGTTGACTGTAGTGTGTTTTGGGACATATTCCATTAGGATTTATTGGTTTTAACAAGCCACCTATAGAAGTTCAATTACCAGTAGAGACCATCAGGGCCCATTACAGTTTCCAGTAAAACCAATACAAGTCCCATTATAACCAGTAAAACCATTACAAATTTTGTAATGGTGTCTACTGTTTTTTTTTTCAGCAGGGTTATTAATTTATTTTTATTCGAAATATTCCCAAAATATATCATGAAATATCTTGATTCGATGTGTAAGTAAATGCATTTTGCACCTTTATAGATTATGTTTGTTGATCCATAATGAGCGATAGGCAAAGTAGCCTAATAGTGTAATCTATCTTTTTTATGTACCATCTCAAGTACCAGATACGGGTGTCATACCATAAAATATTTTTAATACGACTGACTTTGTATTTAATGTGAAGTTAATAAAAACA